TGTTAGTGAATTCTGTATGTCTTATCACTTGATAATCTCAAGAACCAGTCAACTTTGATCAAGTATGTCTTTAAGGAGCTGTCAGAATCTTATCTATTACACTTCTTAAGAGTTTAGTGATCCAATTTCTAACTTGTTGTACCTTGGTCCAAAACACTATTTATATTACTCTATATTTTTCTCATAATACAAATAAATAACATTTTTTTATAATGTAGTTTATACTTTTGTTTTATTCAACATTAACTACAATATTGTGAAATTTACATTTTAAAAATGGTCCTAAAATATAGTATGCCAAAACGATCTTAAAAAGAATAGTCATAAATTAAAAACAAAGTGATCCTTGCTAGATACATGTCACTCAATTGTGATCCATATAGTTTTCCACATATAGTCACTCAATCTTATAGAATATTTCCTTTGCATTGTTTGTTGCTACAACAATCTACACATCACGGTTAGAAATGGAAATGGCTCGTGTTTGTGGCCACAAACCACTGCATTTTGACGCTCTCTCACGAAGCCACAACAAGCACAATTCCCGAGGACTAGTAGTATCCATGGTTATTAAACGAAGCCCCAAACGTCTCAAATACACAGATACAACTCGCTTCAACAAGGTAACACTACTCTTTCTCTCTTCTTTACAATTTAACGGTTTGAAGTTTGAATTGAATTGAACAAGATAACAGGAAGGAGGTTTGGTTTACATTGAAGCTGATCCATCTGGCTCTGATTCATGGAAGTTGGAACCGGTTGTTAATCTCTTGAAACAAGGTGCTGTTGGAGTCATCCCTACTGATACACTGTCAGTCCTGCTTTTTTGCTTGCTCTTACGTCATTAATTAATAATTACAACAGATTTTAAGTTGCATAAGCAAATGCGGTTGTGGTCATTGCAGTTGCTGCGATGCGCATTGCGGCAGTTGCATAGCGAATTTTGATTGAGAAGAGTTTGAAATACATTGTTAAAAAACACATAATGTTAAGAATTTTAGAAGTAAATTGAGTTTTAGATTCTAAATTTTGAGTTTTGACTAAAAATACTTGAAGAAACATGGACAAAGTTGTCTGATGCGGTTCCTAATATAGAAGGACGTGTGATTTCAAATCACACTGCAATTGTGGTGCGATGCGGTTGTGGAAACTACTGCATCAGCAATATTGCGGCCGCAATTTAAAACCATGATTGTAGTCTTGGAATGTGTAAAAGAAAATAAATCATTGAGTGTATTGTTTGATAGACATGTTCAAAGACTAAGTAACTAACAAAAAATGCATTCAATGATTAAATTGACTAACTAGAGACGCGTTAGAGGATGTGTTTTTTGTAATTTCGGTTTATTTAGAGACTATGAGTAGTAAAGGATTTGTTTTCTTGGAAGTCATTCTTCTTTTCTTCTTTTTTGTTTGTACATAGATATGCAATAGCATGTGATCTAACAAACCACTCAGCTATTGAACGACTCCGAAGGTAGGTATAGTGTAATTTTGTTAATCTCATTCTCAACCATGTTTTCTCCCTGAATCACTACATTAACCAATGGTATTTTTGTGTTGTGTTGCAGAATCAAGAATATAGACGCTTCAAAGGTGAGTAACACAGTTAGCTTGTTTTTTTTCAGTTGTTCTTGTGCTGCCAATTGGATTTCTATTTGTAGAAATATGTTTTTTATATTTCATATCTGGTTGATAATACATAAGATGTATATATAGTACATAGGGCTGAGAGGGATGAACTAATTTAGCCTAGAAATTAAGGGAATAATTATTCCTATAAATGCTAAGATTAAATGTGATAAAGACAAAACAGACAGCTAATTAATTTACATAAAACTGCAGTAGTGATATCTACAAAACAGAATCTGCACAACAGATTCTTTGCTGATGTTCAACACTATTTGATATGCATTTCATGTTCTTGTGCTTGTCGCAAATGTGCAATCACTTTACATCGTGTTTAGGTTTGATTTTGTTGATCACATCTTCAAAATTTTCTAGATATATGTTGGTCCTTGGTAATGTAGTAATGCTGCTTGTTGAAGTCATTGATGATTATAGTACCTCTGTTATTTGTAGCCGCTTAGCATCTTATGCCACTCATTTCGCGACATAGATAAGTACACAGCTGGGTTTCCGTGCGGTGATGGTCAAGGCAATGCAAATTTATTCAAAGCTGTTAAGCTTTGCTTACCTGGTCCGGTAAGTATTCTCTCAGAAACTAATTAATGATTTTCTTTGGGTGGGGGATTATGTATGTGCAACCTGCTGAGCTATTTCTTATGCATACCGTGAACTATCTAGTAGCTTCTCACCTATTATGCGAATCATGCAAAATCGCTGAGGCTTAAAGCTTGACATTGTAGTTGTTAGGTGAAAGGATGTCAGTTCATTTATCTTTAGTTATTGTCGATGTGTATCTATCCATTTAGGATTACTTCCTAATAGTTATTATGTTGTTAATAGTGGGGTCATAGCGGGAGATAGCAGAATTTGGGTTTGGTACAGAGCTAAATGCAGGTGGTGTGCGTTTTGTGCTAGCAGATTTAGTGGCTGCAAATAGCGGTGGAATAGCAGCTGAATAGTCCTGTAGCAGCCGGCAATATCCATCCAGTGATGGCAACTGTGATTGCCAGAGTTTCTAGGAGATTTCTCATCTGTTCTGCTCATCTCTTTTTTGCGGCTACGACACGATGTTCACCCACTTTGCGTCTTCATTCTCTTCTAATTTAGGATTTATGTTTATTTAGTGGAATACGTTTTCTAGTCTTCGTCATAGAGGCTATCCTGCCAACTGCTATTCCACTTTAAAAGTTTAGGGGTTTGGCACTACTTGCCTATATCCGAAGATATTTGTTATGTTATTCATTCTTTTCATTAGTTGATTTTTCTCGTTTAAACATGTTATACTATCTAAATTTAGTATAATTTGTAATATCATGTCTTTATGTGGGTGAATCCTATGGTTTTGTTGCCAATTTAATGTCTATGATCTTTAGTATTGACAATTTGTTGCTAACACTAGTCATATTTGAGTGACAGTACACTTTCATCTTAATGGCTAGCAAAGCATTACCAAAACAGTGTATAAGGTTTGGGACTACTTCTGCCAAATATGCATCGAGAAAAAATGTGGGTGTCCGTATGCCTGACGATGCCATTTGCCAAGCAATACTAAAGGAGATGAGTGCACCACTAATATGCACAAGGTTTGTCTAATTTTTTGGATCATTTTTTTCTTGGAGAAAATATAGGAGTATTTTACTATAGTAACAAGAGTGTTAGGTAAACAATAGGTGGAGGAGACCACAATGGTAAAATAATATGACACAGTAGCACCAATGAAGTAACAGATATTTTAGAATTGGGTTCAATCCAAGTTCTAAGAACCTTTGACGTAGATGACTATAACCTTTGTGATGGTATTAGGGTATAGGCTCCTTATTTTGCATATTTGTTGCATTAGAGAATGGAGCATAAAAGTTGATGCTTGCACCTGAATATTTCCTTGGAATTTTTATCTTTATTTTAGCATCAAATTCCTCAACGAAGACGAATGGATGATTGATCCAGTTATGATAGCTGATACATATGGACCAGAGGTATCACTGTTTCAATTGTATCATTTTTTTTTTGAGTATAAATAAGTATGGAAGTAATGATTTTAGCCCCTTCTCAAACAAAAAGGGTTGCATTTTAGATGCTTGTTAGAAATAGGCAATGTTATGTTCTCAACACATTATATATGCATGTCATTTTGCTTTAAGGATTGAATTTTCGCATTTCCACGTGAAGAATGCTTGAAATTGAATACATGATTTTCAGACTAATTGTTACAAATCTACTTGCTATGCTTGGGCTCTACCAAACCTAAAAAAGTTTGGTAGTTGATTATACTCTTTACTAATAAGTTTTATAGCTTTTGGAAAAGATCTTAAAATCATTACTTCGGTTTTTCAGGGCCTTGATTTTGTTGTTGATGGTGGTGTAAGATTGGCTCAGTCGTCCACTGTGGTCGACATGACCAAATTGCCTCCCAGAGTTCTACGGGAAGGAAAGGTAGTTATCTATATCAATTTGAAGTTTGTAAAAACATCTCCAATACAGATTCTTATACAGGTTTTTACATGCAAGCCATTGGAAACCATATAGACAGCACACGTGAAAACTGTTATAAAAACCTTTCTTAAATTTTAAGGGTTCAATTGTGGGATCAATTTTAATTTCTTAAGAGTTCTACCATCAAAGTGAAATTGTTTTGGGTTCTTAAATTCTACCTGTTTACAACTTACTAAAAGTAAGCTAAGAATGCAAAATGGATTCTATCATTAGAGATGCTCTTAATACGACTCTAAATGGTTTCAGGGTACAATTTCAGAATGGATGGTATTGGAAGATGATGCAGAAACTGATGTTGAAGAGGATCTCATCCCTGCTGCCATTTGAATGCTAATCATCTATTTTGATTGAAGATTTACGTCCAAAACCAGTTAATGACATAGGCACAAGGTGGAAAATTTTATGTAAATAAAAATATACTTTTGTAAATGTTGACATAGTTGACCATGTACCCTAATAGTTATTTATACTTCATAGGTCTACCTGGATTCGTTTTGCAATTAATTAAAATTTGTTTATTCATTCTTTTTGTCATGATATTGGGACTTTTAGGATATGCCTTCAATAATTTGGTGTGTTCTACATTGTGAATCTCCCATACTCCAAAATGGTTAAAGTGCACAAAATTATCCCATAGGTATATATTTTTGGACAAGAAACAAAGCAATCATTGGAAGAGTACGTTAAGAAATTCTAAGCTTTCTATATAGAGTAAGCAAAGCCAGCAGCATTTGCATTCCTAAAGTTTCCTGAAGTAACAGAGCCACAGGACTTACTCGAGTTCGTATAAAAATCATGTTCATCAACTCAAGTTCTTTTACCTAACAACCTTCATGGGACCCTCTAGTGCTAGTCATAAAGTATTAAAATTAAAAATCTCAACTTGTGTCCATTTGTTCTCCATCTTCAGTTTGATCTTGACTAATCTCATTACCGTTTTCATGTTTCTGTGTTTCAGTTTCTTCTTCACCCTCAGAGATTTCTTTGTTAGGTGGTGCTGGCAATGTTTTTTCTACCAGTTCTACTATTTCAGCTATCTGTTCATCTGGAAAACGGATCGTACAATCCTCTATGATCTGCATAATAATTTAAAAGTTAACAAACTGATCACAATTATGCAAAGGTGGAAACAAGACATTCAAATGCATATTGTTAGTCATGTAGATCAAGACTTTACCTAGAACTAGAGGTAAAGAAATATGAGTCTAGAAAAAGATATAAGATTCTTAGCATACAATTATCATCAAACACAACAGAGCACGGTAATATGGCTTAACTCATGCACATCTAGTTTTTCATTACCAGTAGATAACATGACAGACACGCAATAGAAAAAGGCTTTGGCTATTGTTGTCTATGTAGCACCAACACATCAGAGGTTCAAAGCATGTTGAACACATGTCTACACTCATACGACACAACACAAGTTACAAGAATCAGAACAAGAAACATTAAATTTCTAAAGTAACATTAAATTTCTCACTAGTTAAACGATAGAGCTAGGCCACAATTACATTAACAAATTACTGAGGCTTAAAATAAATGTGAAGAACATAGTTATGATACTTACATGAAATAACTCAACTTCAGCAGCTGGTCTGATGTTTAATACATTCAGAACCTCAGCCTCTGACAGCTCATGCCGTTTAATACTTGTCAAATATTCTTTGACGCTCTCTCTTGTTTGACTACCAGCTGCAGTATTAACTAAATAATCATAAACCTGTAATCACAAAAAGCATAAAAAGGATTACTATCTATTAGCGACAAATATAATCACGAATAAAAAAGGGTTATCTATGACCAATTGTCTTAGCAGAAAAACAAACCTTGTATTCGGACATTGCTACTTTGGCAATAACCCGTGTTGGATCTTTTGAAGCTCCTTTACCTCGTATGAAATCAAGGACCTCAAAATTTGTAAGTGCAGAAACATTAGCCTCCAAGCTATGAAAAGATAATTAAAAACATCAATAGTGTGTCATTAGAGAAAAAAAGAGAGAGATTCATTTGAAACATTTGCACAACAACTTTGACAAGAACGGTAGTAACATACATTTTCATCTCTTGCAGCAAATAATGTCTTTCCTGCAACAAAACCAAACTAACTTTTATGGTTCCAAAGAGAAAAAAAAAAAGACAAAACAGTTACTAATGTGAAGAATCTTTTTATATTTCAAAATCATTGATGTAGGTAGAGAGCAACATGAATTTAGCATACAAAGGAAAATCACAAAAACCAATAGTGAAAGTGTTGATTGAGTGAGTGAACCATCAAACCCTAGGTTTACCTGATATTAAATTGGCACATACACGACAATGAAAACACAGAATGATGAACAAAATCAAACTTCTTTCAAGAACACAAACAGTGAATAAAATCGATGAAAGACATAAAGTATGAAAGAATGTTTCTCACTTTATTCTCCGGCGGCCTTACTTCCTTTCTAACGACGACGACCTACGACTGCTTTGGGTGGAACGGCGGCGCTGATACTATTTTTTTTCAAATCCAATTAGTCTTTAGTCACTTGATTTGGTTTTTATTTTTATATACTAATTATATTATTTCTTCGGAATTTCTTTTCCCATCAAATACTATTTTTTATCTAATCTAAGTTAAATTTGAAGACGTAGATGCGAAGTTTTTTTTAGGTTAATTCGCGTATATATATTTGAAGTCATTTTTCTTCTTTAATAAATAAAACAATCACGTTAATTTTGGAGAAAAAAAATTGTTTGAAGATGTATTTACAAATATTTATAGAGTAAATTCAAATATGCATCTTCAAATTAAACTTTAAGTAAAATAAAGAAATAATGCGTTCGAAGATGTATCTTTAAAAATAATAGTTATTTTTAATTTTTCACCAGAGATCTGAGAGAAAGTAACGGATTGTAAAAAGAAATTCTCTATTTCTTTCACCCCACTAGGTCACACATCTAATAGTTATTTGTCTTCACTTTGTACACCCATATTACATCAATTGACTTCTTTTCCTTCTGGTGTATCAACCAAATCCCAAGTCTTGTTATTCTCAATCAATTTCAGTTTATCCTTTATAACATAAATCTATGTTGGATCACTCAAGGCCTCTTCCATTTTAACGGGTTCAGATTCGGTCATAAGTGTAAAATAGACGAAATCACCATCACCATTGACTTTGTTATCTTGGAACAGCTCACGGTATTGGAGTGTTGGAGGCAAACCTCTTTGCCTAGTTGATCTTCTCACACTTTCTTCAATTCGGGCTTCGACGGGGGCTTGTTTTACACTTTCAAACTCTGTAAAAACTAATTTTTCACTGTTGTAACCGGTTACTGCTTTCTAGTAACTGGTTATAGGCTGCTACAACTCCTTAATTTTGTAAAAAATGACATCTTGGCTGATCATTATTCTTTTATTTGCTACTTCGTACAACTTGTAACCACTAATAAAGTGATACCCTACAAGTATCATAAATTTTCCCTTATCATCCAACTTCTCTCTAAGTTGCCCTAGCACATGTTGATACACTACTAAACCGAAAACTTAAGTGATTTATCTTCGATTTAAATCCAAACCATTCTTCCTTTAGTGTTATCTTCTCAAGCTTCTTTGTTGGACACATATTCAACAAATATGTAGTAGTGGACACCGCTTCTCACCATAACTCTTTTGGCAAGTTCTTCCCTTTCAACATGTTTCTCACCATGTTCATAATCGATCGATTCTTCTTTTCGGCAACACTGTTTTGTTGCGGTATATAGGTTGGTACTACCTCATGTATTATTCTCTCTTGATCACACAACCTCCCAAAGTCATTTGAGACATATTGGCATCCACCATTCATTTTGAGAACTTTGAGCTTGTGGCTGCATTGCCTTTCAACTATGAACTTAAACTTATTAAGCACTTTGAATACCTCATTCGTTCTCTTGATTAGGTATTTTTATAACTTTCTATTATGATCATCGATGAATGTGACAAAATATCTATTGCCACATTTCGAATCAACTTGTATTGGTCCATACACATTTGAATACACCACTTTAAGGTGACACTTTGTTTTACAACCTGCATCCTTGTTGAATTAACCCTTTTGTCGCTTCGCTTGCACACAATTTTCGCAAATTTCATTCGGTATGTTGATCAATGGCAGTCTTGTTACCATTTCGTTCTTTTGAAAGGCATTGAGATCTTTAAAGTTATGATGCTAAATCCTATAACGATATATCCACTCTTCTCGACTAGTTGTTGTATCAAGACACCTATGCTCCATAACCTTCAACTCAACCTTGAAAGTTCTATTTGTAGCCATAGGAGCTTTTAGGATCAAAACCATGTTTGCATCTATAACGCATAACGCCTTGTTCTCCATACGAATCTTGTAATCCTTATCAAGTAATTGGCGAATACTTAGAAGGTTACACTTGATTTCGGGAATATACAATATGTCCTTTATCAAAGAATGTCTACCATCCCTTCTTTTGATCGATACATCACTGATCCCTTCCGCTATTATAGTGGTATCATATGTGAATTTCACTTTGTTCTTCATGACACTATTGATTGTAATAAACCAATATGTCATCCCCGTCATATAAGTAGAACATCTGGATTCTAAATACCATTGATCGCTGCACTGAATTGCCTTTTTCATAGTCTCTGTTGGTATTCTTCTACATGTAACCGGCTACAGCATTTACGTAACCAGTTACGGCATATGGTTCTGCAGCGTTTCAAAAATTGTTGTTGATGTTATCCCTCAACCCGTTGTTGCTGTATTCCCCCACTATAATCACGGCCAAGAGTGTGTTCTCCTTATCAAACTCTTGTCTTGCAATCTTGGCTTCATCCACTTAAGGTTCCTTCTTGTTCGCATTGCACTGTCTTGCAAAATGGTCGTACTTTTGACAAACAAAACATTACATCTTGCTCTTGTAAATCCTTCTCATTTCACCTCTAAAGTTTCCTTGACCACCATTATTGTTGCAACTTCTCTCATCCTTTAGACAAGCCAAATTCTTGGAATTTGGGATTCTCTTTCACCAAAATTCTAAAAATTCTCTTTACTCTTCATGGGTTATTTTCCCTTCAATTTCTTATCTTTATCATTGTAGCAAGCTTGCAAAAAGATCTCCACCTTTGTCTTATCATAATTTCTCTCCTTCAATTCCTCAATCGCTATGACTATGTTATCGAATCTTGCCGTTAAAGAATGCAAAATTTTTGCGACAACACATTGTTTCGTAAAAGTTTCTCTGCGTGTTTTTTTTTGGTTCACCAACCTAGTAATTCTCATTGTGAAACAGTTGATGGTCTCATTCTCATCCATTTGAATTAACTCAAGTTGACTTTTGTGAGTTTGTATCCTCACAACCTTCTCCTTGTCAGTCCTTGTGTATGCCTTCTCCAAGATTTCCCATGCTTGCTTCGATGATTATCAATCACCGACTTTCTTAAAATTATTTGTATCAACACATTGATGGATTAAAAACAGCGTCTTGAAATCTTTCTTCTTTTCTTTCTTATGAGTTGCTCGTTGTGCATTCGTTGCACCTTCGACAAGAGAATTTACACCGTTCTTGATCACTTCAAAAATATTTTGGCATCCAAACAACACTTTCATTTGCTTCCACCATTTATCATAATTCTTTGCATCCAGGATGGATAGGTTTGCAGGAATTCTTTCATTGGAGATTGAATTCATGTTGCACACCAGGTGTTTGGTGGATTAAACTTGAATCTTGATGTCAAATGTGAAAAATAAAGTAATGGAGTGTGGAAAGGGGGAGAATGAGAAAGAAGATTAGAGAGAGTATAATTGAGACTGAGAATGCACATTCAACTTATTTACTAATGATACCTCCAAAGTATATATACAATTACAATAGATTGGGACACAAGTAATCAAAGTTGTCAAAAAATTGGAACTAACTGCTTGTAACCCGTTACGCCAAACCTGTAATCAATTACAGTTATTTCAACAATTAAAATACAACACACCAGTCAGGAATCAAATTGAGTAAAGCATAGTGTGATTATTGCGAGCACTACACATAGCTTGGCAAGAACACTTGACACGACATGGGTAAGCATGAATAGGCATGTAGATCTCAAGTTCTTCCCATAGAGTCTTTAAAGCTGAGTAAAATTCAGTTACAGGCCTAGAATCTTGCTGTAAAGCATAGATTTCTTGCATCAATTTAGAAATACATACCAAGTCGTCTTGAGAGAAGCGTTCTTTGAGATCAATTCAAACATCAATGGCATTTTCCATGAAAATGATGGACTAAGAAATGGATTCAGAAATTGAGTTGATGATCCATGAATGCACCAACATATTGCATCTATTCCATGCACGGTATAAAGGATAGAAACTATTTGTGATAGGATCAATGGTTCCATCGATGAATTCAAGTTTGAGTTTTCCACTGAGAGCTCGACGCATAGAACACGCCCATGAATGATAATTTGCACATGTAAGCTTCGGAGTAACGCTAATTGATGAAGGTTCGTCTCTTGGATGAACGAAAAAAGGACTTGATTGATCGAGCTGAGGATCAATCGGTGGATTGTGAGGGGGAGCCATGGAATGAGGAAATGAAACTCTCTATGATTGAGAGGCTTTAGATACCATATTGAGAAAGACAAAACTCCATGAAAATATCATGGTAGAAGCTCAAGAAAGAAGAAGAAGGGAGAGCAAAGAATAGATTCACTTAGCCATTACAATGCCATGCATTACAACTTATATAGCTTGCATGTGGACTTACTATAGATATCATGCATTAGCCAATCTGTAACCTAAGTGTGTAACCGAAAAAGCAAAAAAAAAAACGATTATGGTAGTTACAAAGTTAACTAACTAACTAACTACTTGTCATGCAAGTTATCCATACACAATTTTCTTCTTCGAACTTATTGCTTTCTTCATGAAGACCACTATAATTTAACAACAATAAGTGCAAATCATGTATCCTCTGCCACGATATCAAAGGGAGAAGTTTTTTGCTTCAGAATCAGGAGAGCAATTTCTGTACATAGGATTGGAGACAAAAGTGATAATTTTATTTTCTTCAAGAGAAGTGACATATTGCTTTTCTTATTGAATGAAAAAGAAAAAAACAGTATTTATAAATATAATTTATGATCTCGCGCGAGTATATTGCTCATTTAACCCTTTGAATAAACATATAACAAACTCATTATATGTTTTTTATGGTAGGTAGGAGAAGACAATAGCACTTGATAGTGCAATTGTAAGTTGGGAGAGGGCGCAAATTGTGAAATTCCTATCATAACTTCTAACTTGAGGATAGTGAAAAATTGAGTAATTGCGCTATCACCTTTTCTCAAGGAGTAGATTTCTTTTTGTAATTTAAAAATACGAAACAAATCTCCTTAATGATAACAATCTTAGAACTTTTATCATATTTCATAACCATTTGTTGTACTGATTCTGTTCTGGACTGGGCCCGCCCTGACCCAAAAGCAAGAACAAAGGCCCAATTCAAGCAGCTCCTCGAGGAACGTGCGCCCGCGGATTCCCGCCGGCACGCCCGACCACAGACTGCAGTTGTGCCCGCCGTTGTCCGCGACACATGGTGTCCCCGACCACGGGAACTCCAGCTCGAGCCCAGCTCGAGCACTCTCCTCGTAGGGCAGATTCTGACCGTTACCAAATCATCTAAACTCCAGAAAGACCGCGTCTTCGTCCCTCCTTATTTCTCGCAGAGCATCACCAAGAAGAGGGCCACGTGCGGGTCCCTACTACACACGTAGAACCTGGCAGTTCCTTTATTGGGCCAATTTTGGTCGGTCCAATGAGGGGACCTTGGCCCCGCGCTGGGGGCTATAAATACCCTATGTTCCTAGAGGGTCAGGTATTCATCTCTTACGCATACATACACTTTTTTCCTGCTCATTCTGTCACTCATTTTAGCATCGGAGTGTCTTGCAGGTACCCCCCCCCCCCCCCATCTCACTCAAATTCTGCTCGGAGCCAGTCGTGACGGTCCAAGTCTGATCAGGTAAGATCAGTGGCGCCGTCTGTGGGAAACTAGCTTCCCCGTCTTGCAAAACCTCGAAGACCAAAGCTCAAAATCACCTCCTACCGTCATGGCTGACCAAGTTCGGGATGACCAAAACATCCGCGTCGTCCACACCAACAACGACCTCGCAGATAAAAATGGAATCCCCGACAACACCGGTAACCCCGGCCAGAACACACTCCCCGGGGGCACCATCCCCGGGCCCTTAGTCCACCGCGACAGAGCTACTGCCTCATCTTCTTCAGTCCCTCCGCCGCTCAAAGAAGACAACGCAGCTCCCACAAACTATCGAGCTGCCCAATTTCAGGAAGTCCATATCCCCTTCGGGGCAGATACCATAACCCGCGCACTATTCGCGGCGATCAACCAGACGAATTACCTCATCTTTGCCCAGGGGGAAAGATTGAGGGAGCTGGAAGATGATAGAAGACCCGCGAGGAGACATAGGAGGCCCCAGACTCCACCTCCTCGAGTAACAGAGGTACATCTCCCGTCTCCCCCGCGGAGATAATACAGAGACACCTCCCGAAGCCCGTCGCCCCGACCCTCGGGGAGACGACCCCCGTTGGAGAGGCAACCCGTCATTGAGGCCAGAGGGCGCAACCATGGCCCCATACGAAAAGAAAGAAGACACTCCGGAGACAGGCACAGAAGAATTGACCAACGAGCACCACGCTCGAGAGATGCCCAACACGACCATGACCGTCGGGCACGACAATATTTCAGGTCCCCATCCCTATCCCCAGAGCAAAGTGATGAGGATGACCCCCGCGGTCCCCTGTCACAAGCCATCATGGAGGCGCCCATTCCCCCGGGCATGGAGAAGCCTCCACATCTGAAGGAATACGACGGAGTCGCGGACCCAGTCGACCACATAGACGGGTTCGAGGCTATGCTGCAATACCACAATGTCGGGGGACCCATCAAATGCCGGTTGTTCCCCACGACACTTAGAAAGGCAGCAATGCATTGGTATAAAGGCCTCGCTCCGGGATCAATCACCTCGTGGCGAAACTTGAAGAACCAATTCATAAGTTCGTTCACTGCGTCTCGGCAACACCCAAAGACCGAGGCAGCACTCGAGGCCATCATCCAGAGACAGGATGAAACCTTGAGAGAATTTATTAATCGCTTCAATCGTGAAGCCGTACAGGTCCCATGCGCGGACCACATGAAGAGGTACTTGTTGGAGAGGGGGCTCCTCCCCGACACAGAATTCAGAAAGGAAGTGGGCATCGAACTGCCCCGAACATTCGATGCTCCTCCCCGGCACAGAAATCAGAAAGGCAGTGGGCACAGTGACACGCACCTCGCTCCCCCTCACGAGCTGAACATACTATCATCCCTGTGGCCATTTGCGTGGTGGGGAATGGATATCCTCGGACCTTTCGTGCAAGGTACTTACCAAAACAAGTTCCTCATTGTGGCTGTGGATTACTTCACGAAATGGATAGAGGCTGAGGCTCTCGCAAAGATCACCTCGCACAACATCCTCCGTTTCTACAAAAGAAACATCCTCGCCAGATTCGGGATCCCGAGAGCACTAGTCACCAACAACGGCACCCAATTCACCGACCACATATTCCAAAACTTCGTCACCAAACTGGGAACCAAACAACACTTTACCTCGGTCGAACACCCTTAAACCAACGGGCAAGCCGAGGCCGCTAACAGAGTCATCCTCCGAGGACTCAAATGCCGGCTCGACAAAGCTAAAAGAGGCTGGGTCGAGGAGCTGTACAGTGTTTTGTGGGCGTATCGCACCATGCCCCATTCAACGACGGGCGAAACCCCCTTTCGACTAACATACGACACTGAAGCCGTCATCTGAGTAGAAATCAGGGAACCCTCCAGGCGGACAGAAACGCCCCTCGACGAAGAAATGAACGACGAAGCACTCAGGGACGAACTCGACCTGGTCGAGGAAATTCGATCGGGGGCAACCCTGCGCGAGGCAACTCTAAAACAACGAGTGGCCCTGCGTCACAATGACAAGGTCATCAAACGCGAGTTCAAGATCGGCAGCTGATGGGGTCTGCGATCGACTTAATGTCTGATGGTATCTTAACTACAAGCGCACAGCCTATCGGGGTAGTAATAAAAGATTGTCGAATCCACAGGGACTTTGTAATCACGCTAGTGTTGTAAAACAGGTTGGTTTAGCTAAGGCGGAAATTGTCACGTTGGTTTTGGGAAAATTAAGGAAGGTAAATTAATTGATTTTAAAGTAATTATAAAATGAACGGTCGGTATGCAATAGAGTCAACCTAAGGGATCTAATTGGGCCTAGGCATATAAGGATGGTCAACTTGGTTTATCCGTAGAATTAATCAGTTTAAAAACCCTCAACTCACACTTTCATGGTCTTATCTCGGATTATACGTCTAAAGCCCTATACCTGCTTTCGCTAGCCTATAAGTGTTTAGAAGTATTCTTTGGAAACTTAATTAATTCTAATTTGGTTTAAAGCGCTTTCACTGTATTTCAATCAAATGCCTAACTTTAGCTATCCGGTTAAAAACCTCACACTTTCGTGGTCTCGATTTAACCTATTTACTCTTCTTACTTTCGTAACAAAGATTTTATTATTAAGCATAAAAAGTTATAACCAGAGTTAAGTTGATTAAAGATTTAGCCTAAGTTTGATTAGAAGCCTAATGTCTCTTACTATTCCATATCGACACTAAAGGTTTAGCTAGCCATGGAAATCAAAATAAACATACTGTAAATAAAAGCAAGCAAATATAAATTGGACATTATAAATAATAAATAACAAGCATGCATTAATAAATTAATTAAAATGAATTTAATACAATTGCAAAATAAAAACCTGACAGTAAAGCCAATACTTCAATCCTTCTTCCACAAATCGGAAACTCGGACTTGGTATCGGGAGTATTGCAAATTCTGAAGCTTGAATGATAAATCTTAAACTAGAATAATAATTCCCTAATGTTGGAAATTATTATTTGGACAGTGGAATTTAAAAGAATTGAATTAAACAAATGATGTAAGAATAATAACTAAAATAATACTGGTTTCAATTTTGGCAGAGCTTCGGCACAAATAAGCTGTAATAAAACTCCGTACTTTTTTGTTCAATATTGAGGTATTTATAGAAGAGTAAAATCTGGCAGTTGGTTTGTTAAACTTGGAACTCAGTCTTCCTTCAAAATCTCCAAAAATATAGTAACCTAGTAGTTGAGGGAGAAATGGTGAACGTGGTGTTTGACTGGAGAGAATTAAGAAGTTTGGAAACTCCTTCTGTTATGCTTGCCACGTTCTGCATTTTCCAACTGGACTGTTATACGCATTACGTTCGTTACATGAACGTTACGAGCAGATTTTGGTCTTTCCCGTGTTACGGTCGTGGCCACTTTGTTACGGTCGTAACACTCTTCAAACTGGCTTACGGTCGTGGCAGCTTCATTACGACCGTCACAGCTACAAAAGTGCAGTTCTTTGACAAATTTATCCTTTTCTTCTGTTCTTTTGATGCTTTCTTGCATTGTTTCATGTTTTCTTCTATTTTGAGCTC